TGAATGTCATGTTCGTAGTCAGGATGACAAATATACCCGTACACAAGTTTCCATAAAAATTAGTGAGAAAGAACGAAGAATGACGCTGCATGGGCGCTTATGGAGGCACTACTCGTTCAACCCAATTTCAACACATTCAATGAATTAAAGGATATGAATGAATGAAGCCGAAATCTGGAACCACGTTTTCAAAAAGAATAACCTGTAAATGCATCACCCACCTGAAAAGCTTCGTGCGTGCAAGACCTCTTCCGTCATCGAGCGCGCTATGAGTCAAAACGCCTAACAATGTCGACTTCCCAGCATCCACATTACCGACCACAGCAACACGCACCTGAAATCAACTTCGTGGACTTTTTTCCATGATTCAAAACTCAAAAGATCAAATACCTCAATGAAATCCTCCTCTTTAGGGGGATCTCTCACTATCCAAACTTCTGTCGATTTTGTACCATTTGTCCGTGATTCGATTTTGGTACCTAATTAAGGGCTAAATCACTGGAAACCACTCAAAGAAAGAAAAAGAAGAATCACGAGCTCTTGTTCGTTATTTCCGTAAGTGCATCCCAAAAAAAAGCGCAAACCACAGACATACCTATGGCAGGAATAGTCGCGAGAGCTTTGACATGATTAGCTACGGCCACTTCCATATCTTTTGTCGGGATGCCCGATGCTGAAAAAGATAACGTTCAAGTAAGAATGAGAAAAAACCTGAGGAATTCAGACACTCAATGGCGCAGGCATAGTTCTAGGGGAGGAGGAAGCAACAACGCGTCGACGTCCCTCGTTTCCAACATCAGGCCTTGAGGTTGCGTTCATTCGTTGCGACTACTTTTCGGGGGAATCAACGTTCTGAGGGAATCGGTATTTCGTGAGAATCAACGTTTCCAGCAAAAAAGAAAACACAAGCATCGATGTGGTGTTTCGGCGGCAGAATTAGCATTCTGAGCGAAAAGGCGTTCTGAGCGCAAAGGTTTTTATAAATCAACCGGCGCACAAAAAGCTGATTCTCTTGGAACGCTAGCCATCGGCGCCAGTCTGTAAAAGCGGAAAAAATCAGCCGAATACCTCATATAGGACCCCATGCTGAACCGTGCTTAAACGTGCACAAGGTGAAGGAAGAGCGTGGTTGGACGAGTTCTCACACTGAGAAAGTTATGAGAAAGATTAATCCTCTCCGTTCTATAAATCGCCATAAGTCATCGCCAACTACACTATACATGAATCCGCTGTTTCGTATCTGAATCGTCAGTTTTCCAAAAAGAAAAACCCGAAATATTTTGAAAGTTCGAACGCCCGTGCTGTTTGTCGACATCTTTATTATTACATGACAAGCGGTAATGTGCACGAAAGAGAAAGAAATAAAAAAACAAAATATTTTGAAACGCCGCCTAATCGGAATCCAAGCTAACATCATGAAAATGCTCTTCTGTAGGAATTGAAAAACACGTATAACTGAATGGAATAAGAACAGCCAGAAAGGCATGAAAACAGCAGTTGATTGAATCTTTCCTTATCACCTCTCATTTTCTTGGCAATACTCCCGAATATCACCCCTGACGCAACTAACAATATACTTGATGGTTTTCTTAGTTGTCCATAGCAATGAAATCTACTCGTGCAATAGTCCTTAATCGGCTGAAACATCCGTGACGCAAATAAAAACGATCGTGGCTGGAAATACGCCCCACGGGCCGCTCCGTCGATTTCTCACGGGAGCCTGGACAACTGGGAAGTGGTCCCCCTAATAGCTTGCAGAACAAGGATGTGGACGGATATAGCGGAACTCTCCCGTCCCGCAAGATGTTATTTATAAGTAGGAAGGGCGCCGTCGCGCTCCACTCGCTGACGCCGCGACGGCGCACCGCGACGGGCGCGCACGCGCCCTTTCCTACTTCTTAAATAACACCCGCAATAACCCCATCGGCCAAGCCCCGCCCAAAGTTTTCGTGGTGGGGCCTAGGGACGATAATACGCGTGCAACCGACGGAAGATTGTGCAACATTGCGAAAGTCTGGAGTAACCGTATTCCCACGACAAAAATTATCCTGGTGCTAAAGATAGGGTCGTCATTTGCACGTGTCTATTCTGTTTTTTCTTTCAATTTTCCACCCTTGCGCCCCAGTGTCCGTATTCGTGTGGGTTACGAGCCGACACTAAACTCAGGACTTTCTAGAGGGCTCGTTACGATATGAGTTTTTTCTCGAAGCTGTCGTAGTTTATGGTAGCAATGGTTACATGGACCTGAATCACACTTGTCAATGCGATATGTACTACCACATAAGGAGTCGTTATCATTCCATGATAACGTCAATATAAGTCATTGCTACCACGAGCTGGGACAGAACCCCTTCGTCTTTTCATCTGAATTGTGATAATTTCTGTTTTTGTTAGTCTCACTCATCGTGCTCTGTAGTAACCAACCATTGAAGGAAGTCTTCGGTGTTGATCAATCCCTTTCTGGGATGCGGCTCGCATTCCACATCCAATTACTGGCTGATTGAATGGTATTTAACATATACAGTGAGTTCTCCGGGTGCCCAGTCGATATACAGGTCAGTGTTCTTATCCTCCCAGACGAATATGGACC